TGGTAGTTCGTAGTCGCGCGTCGTCGCGCGTGCGTGCGGGAACCCTTCGTGAACCTGGAGTTTCGTAGCGCGTTCGAAATTGAGTTCCCTGACAATATGAACAAAACATTCGCTAATGCAGCGCATGTTTCTCTATGTGCGCGCGCGTTCGCGCTCCCGTGAATTTCCGAGAAAACCATCGGATGTTCAACGTGTTCATTCGGTTCGGCCAGACGGGCCTCGCGCGCCGCGCGTCGCAGTCATTCGAGCGCCCTTTCGTGCGTGCTGGGGGGCCACGGTCCTTGCACAATGAAGCCGCGCGCGGCTCTCGCACTTCGGCCGCGCGCGCGTCGAAATCCCTCCGCAGCCGTCGTCGCCGACGCGAAGGCGCCGTCGTCGTCTCCTGCGCGACGCGATCAGCGTCGGCGCCGTCGCGGACTTGCAGTCGTCGTTGTCATCATCGTCACCGGCGTCGCTATCGTCAGCATAATCGTGTCTGCCGTCGTCGACGTTGCCATGATACCGGGCCCGCCCAGGTCGCCAGCTCGCGCCGGAGCGCCCGCCGAAAAGCGCCCAGCGGTCAGCGCCACCGCGGCCGCGTCGGTCGCGCCAAACTAGCTGGCCACTGCGGGCGCGAGCGTGCGCGGGTTAGCGCGGCCGCGCCGATGCGCCAGCGTTGCGCCGGGCAGGCTTGACAAGTGAGGCCCATGGGTTTGGGCAAACCAAATAGCGGGCGGGCGGGCGCGGGGATTGCGCGGGCAGTAGATTGGACAATCCGCGCCCAACAATAGTGAATGTTTAAAAGAGTAATAGGTCCCACCCCCTCCAGAGGCCGAGTTGACGACCCCCCCGTCGAGATGTGCAATTTGCATATGATTCTGGCCCCGTGTCCATTTTACATATGATTTCATCCCATCCCAAGCGGGCGGGCCGGCATCGATCCCCTCCCCTCGCCATCCTGCGCAAAACATATGATTCGCGCGCCCGTTCATTAAAAGTCAGAGGCGTTGAAGAATCCTCGGCAGAACATGGGACGGAGTGCGCGCGCGGGCGTCGTCGCGCGTACATCTCGGAATCTTTCAAGAATCAAATTGTCGCAATGATCTCAGAAACGGTTGTCGCGAAAACATATAAACGCGCAATGGCGTCGCTCGCGTGCTTTCGAATTCCTAGGAGAACCATCGATGCGTGTAGCACTATCATCGCATGTTACCAAATGGGCCGTTCGCGCGTGCATGTCGGAATCGCGTGAACGCCCTTGCGCGCGCGTTGACGCAATAATCCCTTGCGACTAGAATGAGACGGCGTGCGCGCGCGTCGTCGTGCGAACATGCCGAAATCTTAAGGAAATACTTACGTTTTGCAAGGAATCGTGAAACCGAATGTCCCAACAACGCATATCATGTTCACATGGTTTGGGCTTTGCGAGTTCTAAAGAAACCATGGGTTTTCCCACATTCTGCATCAACTTATGCCAAACGGGCCTCTCACGCCGCATGTCGAACTCATTCCAGCGCGATTGCGCGCGTGCTGGGAGGCACGGTCCGTATCAAATAATGGCACGCGGGCCACTCGCGTGCGTCGGCCTCGCGCGCGTCTCGAACTCCTTCAAAGGCCTTCGCCGCAAACACGGGACATCGTCATCTGTGTCGGCGGGCGTGGTCAACATCGGCGCCGTCATTGGCCCGGCCGTCGTCATCGCCACCATCGCCAACATCATCGCTACTCCTATGGTCGCGTCTACCGTTGTCGGCGTCACCATGACACCGCGCCCGCCCAAGTCTCCGACTTGCATTGCGGTGTCTGCTGGGAAGTGCCCAGCGGTCAGCGCCACCTCGGCCGCGTCGGTCTCGCCAAACTAGCTGGCCGCTGCAGGCGCGAGCATTCGCGGGTTAGCGCGGCAGCAGAGATGCACCAGTCAACGCCACGCACCCATCGCAATCGCCGCTGGCAAACTCATTAGCGGGTGGGTGGGTGGGATGTTTTTGCAAAAGCGTGGGTTTTGTCGACTCGTTTGTAAAATCAATTGCACCAGGTAGACTGCAACACGTAGACTATACCACACATATAGCACCACGTAGTTCGCAACACGGACGCTGCACCACATACGGTGCACGGCGTAGGGTTCTCAAGCAAACCATCGGTTTTCCAACATGTTCACACATTTTTGCCAAAAGGGCCTTTCGCGCCACATGTCGAACTCATTCGAGAGCTCTTGCGCGCGTGCTGGGGGGGTGTCAAATAATTCCACGCGTGCCAATCATGCGCGTCGGCGTCGCGCGCATGTGTAATTCGTTTGAAAGCCTTCATCGCCGACGCGAGGACTTCGTCATTGTTACCGGCGGGCGTGATCAGCATCGGCGCCGTCATTGGCTTTGTCGTTGCCGCCACCAGCTTCGTCAACATCGCTATTGTCAGGGTCGTGCTTACTATTGTCGTCGTCGCCGTGATTCCGCGCCCGGCCACGCACTAAAATGCTCGCTGGGAATTGCCCCACGGTCAGCGCCACCGCGGCCGCGTCGGTCGCGCCAAAGTAGCTGGCCGCTGTGCGCGCGAGCGTGCGGGGGTTAGCGCGGCCGCAAACAAAAATTCAGCCAACGCCAAGCACTCACCGCAATCGCCGCCGCATGGGTCTGCAAACCAAGTTTCAGGTGGGTGGGTGGGATGTTTGCAGGAGCATGGGTTGTCACTTCGTTTGTAAGAACCAATTGCACCACATAAGCCGCACCACGCAGAGGGCACACCCTAAAATTGACCACACAGGATGCACCACGTAGATTGCACCACACAGTATGGTGTCACACAGCGTTTGAGGCCCACGCTTGTTAGCATTTGATATCTGCGATTGGCGCTCTTGCTGGATACATTTGACACGTCGCTCGGGCGGTGCTGATAACGGAGGCGATGATATATATATATATATATATATGTATGTATGTATATATGTCTATATATATATGTATATACTGGTTGGGCACGAATCTGTGCTTTGCAGGCTGGGTGGCTCAAGCCGCTTGGGAGAGCCTGCGGACGGCAATCTATGTGGAGCAAGCTCTTGCGGCGCACACAGCGAAAGGGCCGCCCCCGGGGCCCCCACGACTTGGCCACCAGCCAGGCACTCGGCGAAACCCCGGCGAGTCCACCCATCGCGCGGTACGCTCACGAGGCGCCCACCACGAACGGCCACCAACCAGGCACCAGGCGAAATCCCAGGGGTTCCATCCAATCATTGATGGTCAAATGAAGACCCCCGAAGTGCAAGCGCCGTTCAGGGACCATTCACACATACATATCTGTTACCCTATTATCTCCATATATGTATATGTCTGTACGTGTAGAGATACACGTGTTGGTGTATGTGTACATGTATGTGTGCGCTCGCATCAGATCAGTACGCACGCGCATGTAATCAGACTGACTGTTTGGCATTGCGGCCACGCGAGTTGCGACGTTGCGGAGTCAGTTAAGCGTGAGCGCCGTGAGGGCGGTGCGGCGACCGCGGGAACTGACACACACACACAACCACGGCACTAACAGTGACGTATTTGCTCTCGTGACGGGGAAGTGGGAGGAGGAGGAGGAGGAGGAGCAGGAGGAGGAGGAGGAGGCGCAGGGGGACGAATCTGATGTAGCACTGACGCAGGGGACGGGAAGTAAAATGGGAGAGGGCGGAGACCAAAGAGAAATCACACATGTTTGAGAGAAGGATGACTGGAATGAGACGTATGGCGATACAGAACAGGAGGAGGAATCGAGGGACTTATTCTGTAAGGAGGAGGACCATGGGTTGCAGCATGAAGTTTGGGGGACATCCAGGTAGTATGGAAGTATGAGGGAAGGGAGGCGAAGGATGAGGTGGAAGGGCAGGAAGATGAGTGGGAGGATGGTGAGACGTATGAGGATCATTCAGGGACTGATGTGAAGAACACGAGAAGACGGAGGTTGGTGAGGGAAGGGAGAAGGAGGAAGCAGCGATGCATACAAGGAACAGGAAGAGGAGGAGGAGGAGGAGCAGTAGCAGGAGGAGAGACGAAAGGAATGTCGACCCACTTTGGAAACATGTCGACGCACATGACTTCAGAGGAGAGTGTGGGTTGGCTTGCCTGCCACCCCGACCCCTCGGCCTCTGAAGAGTCCGACCGAGTGGCGTGGTAGGGGCGGGGTTAGTTCGGTTAGCAAATCATGGGAGCCTGACGTACCCTGTCAATTCCGCCTTTAGCGTCGATTAGTGTCTGGGAGTCGATGAGATAGCGCCGAAGCAGCGTCAGTTGCCGTCGGTTCGCGTAGATGTAGCGTCGAGCTAGTGTCGATCAGCGTCGGCAGGCGTCGACCAGCGTCCATTCGCAAGAGCTCACAAGATGGTACGGGATGCTCCCAGGAGTTGTCACTGGAAAGGTTCGGCAGCGGCGGAAGCGGAAGTGTGGGGGGAGGCTCGTGACACTGGGCCGTGGGCCCTTCGGGGCGAGCCGACTCCAGCAGCGAACCGCTGACGAGGAGGAGGAGGGAGCAGTACAGCAGTAGATCGACGGCGGGCGAGGGGGGGAAGAATAACACAAAAAAACACAAACAAACATACACAACACACAAAAACAAACAAGACACAAAACAAAAACACAAGACACAAAAACAAAAACACTACAAAACACACAAAACACAAAACACAAACCAAAACAGAAGGCCTTCTCAGGAGGCTCAGAAGTTCCCCCGGCCTTCTGAGAATTCCCCTGAGCCTTCCCCGAAGGCGCAAGGGCTTCTGAGAAGTCCCGCCGCCTTCTGAGAAAGCCTTCTCCTTCTCACTTGCCTCCCCTCGCTCGCCGCGGAGAAGAGGGCCAGAGGGGAAGAGGATGGCAGGAGAAAAGCAAGAGGAGGGGAGCGGAGGGTAGGAGGAGAGAGGCGCAGAGGGAGGGAGGGAAGGCGGGGGGAGGGCGGGGGAGGGAGAGGGAGGAGGAGGATGAGAATGAAAAGGAGGAGGAGGAGAAGGAGGAGCAGGAGGAGGAGGATGAAGGACAGCGCGTTCTCAGGTGGCCCATCAAGTTCGGATGGGCCTTCGAGGCCATGTGCATCGATCCGCCCAAGGCCAGCGTCTTGGGAGTGGCCGCCATCCTGCTCCCTGGGCCCGGCCGGCTGGGCCCGCCGCTGTTGATGCTGCTTCCTGTGTTTGGTGGTAGGGCACGATGACTCGAATGTTTGCCTGTCGCGCCTCCTTTCCTTGCCCGCCCACCAGCTTTCGGCACGGCGCGCCGGGCACGTCCCTGCCCCGAAACAGGAGGGTCCGAGTTTCTGACCAGCCTCCCGCTCCTCAAACATAGCAGTGCGACGCGCTGTCAGCTTGCAGTACTGTCGCGTGTCGCGGGAGCCGCCGCCGCGAGACGCCGAGCAAGGATTCGCCACCGCGCGTGGGAGCACCAGCTGGAGAAACACAGGCTTTGGGAATGTGTGGTGGCCGCTCTTCGCCGGGCTGTTGCTGTTCTTTGTTGTTTGTCCCGGGTGCGTGTTTCCAGCATGATGCCACCAGCACTGCGGATGTTGCGAACAATGCTCCCGAAGCTATGTGGCCTCTGTTCCCTCCGATCTATCCCTTGCAACTGGATGGGGAGGAGCAGGAGGGAAAGGAACATGATTCGTAGCCTGGGAAGAAGGCCGGTGGAGTGAAACGGAATTGTGAGCGTGCGAGAGAGAGAGGGAGAGAACGAGAGAGAGAGAGAGAGTTGAAAAGGAATGCGCCCACGAATCACACACACACACGGCTGGATTGTTCGGGGTGGAGTGCGTTGGTGCGCCTTCGCGATGCTCGTGTGCCAGCCCCCCCCCACCCTGCTTCGGCTGCGCCCGAGACTTAGCTCTTTCCTCGCCTACACCCCCCGCCGCCCACTTGAAAGGGGGAAGATGGCGTGCGTCGCACTCCCCCGCGGACGTATCGCTGCGTGGCTATAGGCGAACGGCGACGGCAACGAACGACCAAGAACAAACAATGACAAACGTGCGAAGAACGACGACCGACGACGACGAACGACGAACGATGAACAACTGTTGGTGACCAGGACGACGACTGCCGACGAACGGCGAACGACAACGATTTGTGGACGACGGGCGACGGATTTCGACCGACGCGACCGCCGCGCGGGGTCAGGCCAGGATGCGCGCGTCGCACCAGCGATGATCTCTCGGAGTTCACAGCCTCGCGATGGGATCGGCGCGCTGCGCCAGGGCAGGCTCCTCGCGCGATCGGGCAGCGCTGGAGCGCACGGGCAGGGACTCGCGCGTCGCGTCGCCAGCCGTCTGAGCACACAATATGTTCCCGAAGAAGGTCGGCGCGCGGGGTGCCGAGCTTCTCCGCGCGAGCGGGCCGCGCTCGCGCGGCCGCAGGGAAGGACTCGCGCGCCGCAGCGGCGAAGGCCTCGGGACTCGAGTCCGCGCGAGGGGGTCGGCGCGCGCGGCGCCATGGAGCTCCTTCGCGCGAGCTAGCGCGCGGGGGAAGGCTCGCGCGTCGCACCGGCGGAGTGGCCGTGGCCGTGGCTCCGCGGCGAGGTTTCGGCGCCGTGGCCGCGCTCCGCGGAGGTGGTGACGCCTCGCTGCGCGACTGGAGACGCGGGCGCGCGCGCGCGGATGTCCCTGCAGATGCGCCGCGAACGTGGCGCATATGCAGGCGCATCGCTACGCGACCACCGCTCGGGGGGAGGGTGGGGCGTCTGCAACATGCAAATTTAACTGTTTGTTCGGGGTCCGTCAGGCCGCGTCGGCTGGGGTGTTCTGCATGTTCTTTCTGTGGCTCCCTGAAGGTTTCTGCGGCTCCCCCCGGGGCTGTCTGGAGCCTCATCTGGAGTTTCCTAGGTCCTGAGGCTTCCTGGGGCCTCCTCGGCCTTCCTGGGGCCCTGTGGAGCGTCCTGGAGCGTCTGGGAGTGCTCGGGAGCGCCTGGGAGCTTGCTGGACTCTTGGTGACGACTGGGGGCGCCTGGGGGCGCTTTGGCGCTCGTGGAAGCGTCGAAGAGCGCCCGGCCGGGGCCGCCCGGGGAGCACCCGGGGAGCACCTGGGGGGCACCTGGGGGTGCTTGGGAGCGCTTGGGCGCTCCTGGAGCGTCTTGAAGCGCCTGGGGGCGCCCGGGAGTCTGGGGGCTCCTGGGAGCGCCTTCGAGCGCCTTGGGCCGCCTGGGGAGCGCTTGGGGCCGCCGAGGAGCGCTTGGGCGCTCCTGGAGCGTCTAGACAGGGGTCGAGGACATCCCGAGCGTGTCGGAGCGCCTGGGAGCGCCTGGGGCCGCGTGGACAGCGCCTGGCGGTCCCTGGGGGCGTTTGGGCGTTCCACGAGCGGTTGGGGGCGTTCGGGGGCGTCTGGGCGAGCCTGGGAGCGTTTGGGGCCGCCTGCGGAGCGCCCGGGGCCGCTTAGGGGGCGCTTGGGGCGCTCCCTGGAGCGTCGGGGGGTGCTGGGTCTGCATCCGGGGCAGATGTTTGGCCAGGCGCCGCTCGCCCGCCCTGAGCCTCCAGTGGCTTTGAGCTTGGGAGGGCCCGGCGGCACTTGCAAAGGACCCGCGCGACCCCGGTTTACCCCAGAGATCTAGACATCATTTTGGAGACAAAGAGAGAAACTATAGAGAAAGGGCGAGAAAACGACAAAGAGAGAGAGGGAGAGAGAGAGAGAGAGAGAGAGAGGGAGAGAGCAACAAAAACAAAAAGCGAGCGAGAAACATAAGCAGAGATAGACAGAGAAAGAGAGAAAGCGGGAAAGAGAGAGAGAGAGAGAGAAAGAGATTGAAGGAGACAAAGGGGTCTTCCAGGAGCCCTTTGGGGGCCTCTGCGCACCTCTCCCAGGGTCCTTTTAGGGGCCTCCTGGGGCTTCAGTGGGTCCTCTTTGGGGCCTGCTGGCGGTCTCGGGGGTCATCTTGCGACGGAGGGTCTCAGGTGCCACTTCGAGTTCTGTCTCTTGGGCCCCTCCCCGGGCTCTCTTGGTGCCGTCTCGGGGTCTCTTGGGCCGTCTTGAGGCTGTCTTGGGTCGTCTTGTGACCTATTGGGTGTCGCTTGCGTCTTGGAACGATCCTCGGGCGATTCGGGTTCCTCTTGCACCGTCTTGGGGGCCTCTTGGGACCCTCTGGTTTTGGGCCCCCCCATGCTTCCCCCAAAGGGTTCACGCGACAGCACGCGGGAAGCCACGCGAGCGCCCGGAATTTTGGGCTGAGGGCCCCTTACAGAGCTTTCTACTGTGTGTATAGAGGACCCAAGAAGATCAGAGGACACTTCAGTCAGTGTCTCGCGGTACGGTCGGGGGAATATATATATATATGTATATATACATATACACATCTATATAAATGTATATATATACCTATATATATATATATATAGCTACACACCGGTAGCAGTTTATATACACAGATACATTATTATATGTATTTACACGGAGGGAAGGGTATATATATATACATATATTGAGAAATAGAGCGGTACCAAACACACAGAGGGAGAGAAGGGAGACCAAATCACAACAGAGATATATAACAAGAGACGGGGGAAAGAGAAAGAGGGAGAAAGGGAGAGAGAGAGAGAGAGTGAACAAGAGAGGGGGGAAGGGAGATCTTGAGAGAGGGGGAAAGAGAGAAAGAGAGAGAGAGAGAGAGCACGCGAACGAGAGAAATTATGTTACGTACATGAAAAATGTATACACATGCACACTAATATACATCTGGGAAACAGACAGTTGCCGATGGAGGATGGAGGGGGAGAGGGAGAGAGAGAGAGAGACAGAGAGAGAGAGAGAGAGAACTTGGAAGAGAGACATATACGTGAAGAGATACAGCACGAGAGAGAGAGAGGGAGACAGAGAGAGAGAGAGAGCGAGAGCAGAGGGAATGAGAGAGGGGTCTACAGAGAGCGAGAGTGAGGGAAAGAGAGAGACACGGAGAGAGAGAGAGAGAGAGAGAGATTGACAGAGAGAGAGAGAGAGAGACACACACACACACACACACACTTGTTGCTGTTTTTTTGCATGTGTTGATTCGCGCCTTGGCCCCTTTCCTCCTTTCTCCGCTGTCCTGTTTCTCCACCCTTGCTTCTTCCGTCGCCTCCCTCATTCCCGGCATCCTCCTCGCCCTGCCTCCCACTCCTCCCTCCTCCTGCTGCGCCTGATCCTCCTGCTCCTCCTCATCATGCTGCGCCTGATCCTCCTGCTCCCCCTTCCCCCACGCAGGAGGACGGGGTGCAGGATCAGGCAGGGCAGTGGTGGCCACTGCAGGGTGAAGGCAGACAGGCCCCGAGCAGAGCACAGCAGCACGCACCACGACCACGACGCCGACAGCGACGCAGAAACTGTGGAGGCGAGTGCGAGCGGTGGCGGAGCGAGGAGGAGAAGGGAGGAGGCAAGAGGGGAGGAGTCCAGGAGGGAGTGGAGGAGGTGGAGGAGGAGGAGGAGGAGGACGAGGGTAAGAAGGAGGAGAGGGATAGGAGGAGGAGGGTGAGGCAGGAAGAGGGGGGCGGGGAAGGAGGAGGAGAACGCAGCAGTGGGTGGGAAGGATGAGGGAGGAGGGCATCCCCCCTCTTCGCCGTTGTCGTCGGCCTCCTCCTCCTCCTCCTCCTCCTCCTTCGCCTCACGTCTGCCCAGGGCGTGCTGCTCTACGGGCCTCCCGGCTGCTCCAAGACCATGATGGCCAAGGCCGTCGCCACGGAGACGGAGATGAACTTCGTGTCCATCAAGGCGTGGTGAGGAGGGGTGAGCTCCTTATGATTGGCCTGTTTCCTACCACCATCACCATAAGTTGGAGGGGGAGGGGGTCCTCCTCCTCCTCCTCCTCCTCCTCCTCCTCCTCCTCCTCTCCTCCTCCTCCTGCTCCTCCTCCTCCTCCTCCTCCTCCACTGTATGGTGGTGGTGTTGGAAACCAAGCCCATCACCCTGAGATCTTGGAGTCGTATGGTTTTCGCTCCGGGTTTGTTTGCCCAGATGTGGGCCCCGGGGCCCTCGCAGATCGGTGCCGTGGGTTTCTTGCTCGGGCTGCGTCTCCTGACGCTGGTGACGTTTCCTCCGCGACATCGGATCTCA